AAGTGAAGTTTTTTGTTGATAAAAAGAGTAAAAATGTTCCTCAAACATTTTTTATGTGTTTATTTTACACGTTTATTGATTTTCGTACACTAAAATAAACTATACTACAGAAACTCTTAATTTTATAATAAATATTTTATCGAAAAAGTGCGGTGTAAATATAAAAAGAATACATAATCTTGAAGCTAGGTCCATTTTCGTATGGCAGCTTTAATTTGATTATCTGTTAGTACTTTTAAAACATTTTAGTCATTTGAAAGAGCCCAAGACTAATTGGATAGCTTAACGGAAGATCGTATTTACTAGTCTCTTTTTTAATATCTTATTATGTGGAAAATAAACAGCAAATTATAAAACACACACTTGACTTTTTAGCTGCCATGAAAACTACATTACCAAAAGTTTTGTTAAAAATTATTCAATAATTAAATTTTTTAATAAAAAATGTTATTTATAAACCATTTGCTACATAATTGTACACTTTACCCTATACCCTTTAAAATGACACCTCCCACGCCACTGTACGGTACGTTAAGCAGTTTATGTTCTATGGTCCTGTTGGCACGTTGCCATGTCTATTTTGTATTCGATAACTCCTATCACGTGACAGAGTTCCCTTTGAAATTGATTGAAAACAATCTTTCCTGTCGAAAAGGAAGCAAAGATAAAACGGCTTCACTATGGACACAATAGCGATCTGATATTCACGAACTAGAAATCCGAAGATTTTTAATTGATGAAAGGACAATCCAGATTTTTGTTTTAATCTGTGCTTTCTAAGAATTTCAAGGCAAATAGACGTTGATGAAGGTGTAATTAAAGAAAATGGGGAATCTAAAATTACATTCCAAAATGTATCGTCTCAACAAAAATCTGGATTTTGGTTTCGTCAAATTCTTTGGATTTGTAGAAATAGAAATAGAATAGAATAGAAATCTTCGGATTTCTAATTGACGAAAAATTTCACAAACGATTTCTAGTTTGTGATTTTATAATATTCTAAAAGCAAAGTCATCAGACAAGACTAAAATGTAAAAAACAAATAATCTGACCAAATACTATTAGAGTAGCTTAAATTCTTAAGTAACGAGAATATCTCATAACTAAGACATATCTAAAATACATTTACAAAACTGAAAAATTTCATACACCGTGCTGAAGTGTATACTAATGCCACTTCCAAAAACATAATCTAATTATGTAAAGACTATTTAGTATTAGAAACCACCCTTTGTGCTGAACTAACTTTCAACAGAATTACATATAAATACTGAAACCCCATGGTAAACAAATAATTCGGTTTTAGATATGAATTGAACAAGAGAAAAGCTTTATTCTTAGAATTGACATTATTCCAAAAATCATGGTAAGTACATAATATATTATTTACTTACCATGTATGTACTATGTTACCATAATATGTACTTACCATGATTTTTGGAATACTGTCAATTCTAAGAACAAAGCTTTTCTCTTTCCCAATTCATATCTAAAACTGCTATATATTATATTGATTTTTTTAAATTTTGTTAAATGGGAACAGATGATAGAGGTCTAAAGCAATTATGAAATTTATATTGGATACAAAAACCTCTGTTTTGGTAGTCGACAACAAGACGGAATTTTTCATTCAACAATGAGTCGGACAAGTTTGTTTTTCATGGAAGCCGTCTGATTTTAACAGTTCGTACTGTAGTCAGTTTTGTTATAGTACATCTCCCATTCAAGGATTCTGGAACCCTGTATCAGCGTATACAGGTCTACAGGATGAGTAACATATATTTTTGGAGAGATTCAGTAGTCTATGAAAAGTGTTTGCCACCTACAATCTAATAAGTCGCAGTCATGTAAGATTTATTTGAATGTTATCTGCTACAAAGCTTGCACCTTAACTCTCTATCAAACAGTCCCACTGTATAAAGGTGTTCGTTAATTGGTATATATCTACTAAGGAAACCTGTTATGCCACTGATCTAATTCCTGTTTTTCACTTGGAAAGCTACTTTAGGGCTATATCTAGGTATCGTATGGTCAGAAATAATCAATTCGATATATCTAATTTTATTTATACTGTAACTATTTCCTGACCTTACCGATACGTTGCTCAGTTTTTCTCGCACATAATATCCCATTCTTGCACTATCCCTTACAGCTATGTAAAAATGATAAGGTACATTAGGTACCTCTATAGCTAACGTTGATGTGCCACATATCCCATGTTACTCTAAAGCAAGTCTTTGCACCGTGCGTAGTTTGAGGATGGCACTTTTTTGTTGCAACTTTGGTCACCATGCCACTAATCGTTATTTTTACCACCTTCTTATAGATCCACTACAACATGCTTAGCTTTAAATCTCATATTCGTTCATGAGTGCGTCTCGCTACCATTAAAGAGATCGTAATAATAATATATTAAAATAATAATATATTACATTATAAAAAAAACATAAACTATAATTTGCAACAGACTGTATATTTAAGCTTAAATATAATGTGTACTAAATTTTGTTAAACACGTATATAAAAAGTAAATATTTATCAAATCTACCGCTTCACGAGAAATAATAATTTGTCTATAATAAGTAAATTCACAAGTGAAGCAATGCATTGTCTTACTCAAAGTTTTAAAAAGGCTATGTCGGCCAAAGAAAGTACACTACTTCTGCTCGTAGATACCTATAGGGTGTCATTTGATAGCATCTACTAAACACAACTAGCGGAATTCTGGAATAAAATGGATTCAATCCATACTCAGTGCTAGGATCAATCGGTCATTATAGGATCAGTAAAAGGGATTGGCATCAAAGAGGAACTTTATCACCTTTACTATGATTTAGTGGTTGAAGATCTCATATCAAAGATTAATCTTATTATAAAAGAAAAAACGATAATATATTTTTTTATCGCATGCAAAGTGCCTTAAGCTCATATCTTATCTCTTAAATAAAAATGGGTTTTCAAAACATGGATTATAAAATCTAGAATAATATATTGCTCATATATAACGATTGTCAAATCCATAATTAAGCCGGCTTGGTGAAACAAACAAAGCTGCAAATAATTATAGAGTTAAACGTACAAAGACTAAACTTTCTTAAGAGGGTATAATACTCAATCATCAGAGACAAATATGTCACTGAACCTCTAAAAACTATAATAACAAGATAAATTTTGTTCAAAATATCAATTTTTAGACCCCAAAAAAGATGCACACAAGTTTACCTCTCCTTCCTCCAACTTCCCCATTAAAGACACCCTTTAAGGGGAGGAAATCGGAAAAAATCGATTTATCAAGAATCTGTAGGCCGTACAAACAATGGATCAAATATAAAATGTAACTGAGAAAATTTTGAATAACGTTTATTATCACTTTTTATGCAGAATAAACCGTTCTCTCAGAAACAACGTCTGAATCAACCGGCAATTTTAAATAACATTTATATCAGCTAGACGGTAAAAATTTGACCTTTTGGTCAGAGTGTTCTATCAACAAAAACTAAAAAGCATTTTAAAGGTGTAGTGTACAGTCTTTTCATGCAATTTTTGTATTTTGCCTCAAAAAAAGTCGGTTTTTATAAAGTTCTCATGAGATCAATAAAACTTATTGATCCACCACTATAGACTTTCTATTTTTAGAGTCTAATCTTTAACTAATCAAACATAAAAAATAGGCGCGTATATAGACTTTAGACATATATGTCTTAAGAATGAGAGATATGTAGGCAGAGAGAAATATATTTTAGAGAAATAAAACAGAATTCATACTTTCTGGTGCAGAATATGTCAACCTCTTTAAAACGAATTACACAAATTGGTTTCTAAAGGGACGTTGTTTTTGTCTCTCTCTCTCTCTCTCTCTCTAGAGTGTACAATATGTCTTCAAATCACTCTTAACAAAATATGGAAACATTAAATTTCCGTCCGTAATTCCGAGCAAATTTCTGCCATTCGTTTATCTGCCATTCCTTTCCATAGTCTCCGTCAATTTTTATAAACAATGCATTTTCAAGAATCCATTGAAATCGAAAAACACCCTGAATGTCTAAATGAAATGCAAAATGGCACCCCTTGAAAATGGAGACTTTTCCATTAGCAATTTTCTTGGGCCTGCCCACCAAATTCCACGTCCGGGAAATGAGTCACCATCTACAGTATAAAAGTAGCATATCCCTAGTAGTGTTGTAAAACTGTTTAAGGTAGTGTTTGTGTTTGGAATTTGGTTAACACCAGAACCTTGTGTGATACTATTGGTAGCCCAGACTTGACTTACAAACGCACCATCTACTACATAATTGGAATGGCGTAAATGACACAAAACAATAAGCTAGAAAATGTTTTTATTTCAGATTATCAGAGCAGAAGAAACAAATAATATGAAAATATATAAAAACGAAAATCCGTAAAAATATGCATAATATCAAACTTACTTTATTTAGATAAAACTAAACTCTTCTTTGTCCAAGTTTTAAAATAGGCAAACTGTTAAGTTTATCTTGGTCCCATTGCATTTGTCTTGACCAAGTATTTGCCTCCAAGCAAAAGGTTATATTATATATGTATAAATTAATCATTGCAGATGAGTAACAAAAATCTTATCTATATCGTTGTGTTTAGTAAGTAGAGGCGGTTATTCGTATTGGGCTCCTTCAGTAGACTTACAATATTTTTTTAGTTTTCACCAATATACAATTAGAATGTTTAAAACTCCTGTACAAAACGTCACTAACAATTTGTGCAAATTTAAAATTCTACTATACGCATGCGTACTCTGAATACTTTCAAATTACCTGGACGGTAAGTTGATTCATTTCTCTCTTGGTGTCAATTTTTGATACCAATCCAAGACCACGAATATTCTTACTAATTTGTCAAAGTGTTAGTGGCAGCAAATATCTTCTACAATGCAAACTTTTTTGCATTATTAATAAAAGTGTACATGTTTTTCAAATCATAAAAAATTAAACTACAAAAGGTAACTTTAAAATAAATAAATAATAATTTACAACTTAAATGCTATATTCAAGATATTGTGTATATATTATACTATAGAATTTGAAATGCTTATCACAAGGAATTGAATCGAAGTCTTAGAGATCACTCCGTTCAATATGTAAAATTCGTTGTCTCAGTACCCTTATTCGGTTTCATCACATTCTCCGGGATTTTCGGGTAAAAGATCATGTCCAACACACTAAAAAAATAATAATGATTTTAATTGTTAATGCTAAAACAGATAAGTTGTTTTATATTTACATATTTACATGAATTCATGTACAAAGTATATCATCTTTGAAAGTCAATAACTTATCAGAAGATATCTGCCGATAAAAATAAGTGATGCAGTCTCTAAGATAGATACTAATAAAAAGAGAAACGGAATCTAATGTGGAATTCAAATAAAAAATATACTATTATGTAAATTATTTTGAAGTGTGTGTGGGAAAACTTCAATTTTTGTAGGTCTTTAATAAGTGGCGCTAGTTAGATGGCATTTTTACAAAACTTAATTTTAAATACTATGTTTATTTGGAATGAAGGCAGAATTGATTTTAATTAAAATTACTTATTTAACTAAATAAAGTTTGACGTTTCGATTTCCACTCCAAAAATATTTTCCAATAAAGAGTATTTTTAAAAATTCTAGAAAATATAATGGTATAACCAACCAGTTGTTAATAGGTCATATCTCTTAAAATTACCATACTTGGCCTCGATCTTGTAGGCAAGAGCATGCTTATGGCGAAAGAGAACTCAATGAAGAAAAATGTGTAAGAAGCCCATACGAAGAATTTAGCAGGCTTTGGTTGCCAATAACAAAAAGAAGTCAAAAACGAGAACATGCAAACAATAGTGGAGTATTAAGAAGCGAAAACTCACACACAGTACATATGCAACATACAATACACAATAATATAATCCATGTTACATAGCCTACGTTACAGACGCACTATTACGATCACAAACCATACATACTTGTATATAGTTTGTGATTACGATGCACTCTACACAAACATCTAATACAGAAACAAAGTCAGAATTTTATATTCTGAAGGTAAAAACACCGTCCTGAAAAATTTCTTTAACCATAAGCATGTTGTTGCCTTCAAGATCGCCGCCAAGTATATCAATGTTGAAAAACATAGCCTATTAACAACCTTTTGATTATATTATACGTAGCGCCACTTGATAGAAAGTAGACACCATTGTATGTCTTTGATAAAATCATAGATCATTTTGTCATAATTTATCATTTTATCAAAATTTATCATAAAATAATAGATAATCATAATTTTTTACAAATAAAGGGCAGATATCGAGCACAGTTCTTTAAATACATCTTGCCTAAGTACGTACTTTCGCCCTCAAAGCATCTAAAAGGCCATCTAAAATAAGCCAAAAACGTTTTTTAAGTGAAGAAAATGTAAAAAAAACTTCGACAAAAAAAGCGAAGATGATGGTTGAAAATATATCTTCTTAGTGTTTTAGGCTTACTTCGTGAAAATGTGATACAACTAAATTACAAAAATATATGTAGACTGTAATTTATGCCAACTGTAAATTAATTTTGTTTAGCAAGTTGTTGATGATTAAAATGTTAATATTAATTAAAGTATAAAATAAATAAAACTCCTACTAAATATAAACTCAGTTTAGGTAACCTAAACAGTCGAGCTGGGTCCCTTACGAGGTGAAGCTACAATTAAAATTTTAACAACACGGACAACTTCCGAATAATTCCGAATAATACATAAGAGGCATCATAATCATCACATCTCAGTTTATATATACCACTCTTATCCAGAGTGTTTATCCTGACTTTGGTTTTAATTAAAAAAGAACCTAAAGTATTGTGTGACTTAAAATATTTGAAAGACTTAAAAGATTATACAAAGTTTTGATATTTTTTGGAAATGTTACTGTAATGAATAATCAACTCTATAAGTTTTAGTTTTACTCTATGGAGAAGCTTATGGATTAGTTTATAATAACTGCTATAGAAAAGCAGTTATTAGAGAGTGAAAATTTGAGAAACCTATAAATGTATCTATTCAAAGCAGCCATTTTAAGGATGGTTAGATGTTTAGTGTACAACATTATCCTTTTGAATAGGTTTTTTGTAAATATTATACTCTGGAAACTCTTTATTAAGAGTTATAGTCATGTCCGAAAAGTACAATATTTACAGAGAACCTACTTAAACACTGCTTTCAATAGTTACATTTATAGGCTTCTCAAATGTCCACTTTCTAAACTTTCCAATGTGAACTGCAATTTAGAACTTGGTACTCCTAAAACTAAAGCTCGTTTATTCATCGCAATGCTTGCTTCATCCCAATATCACAAATAGCATAGGATTTTTTCCTTTTTAACTTTATCACCACTTATTAATATTTTTTTTAACCATCAATTTTCAGTTTTTCTCGAAGCTACATTTCTTTCACTTGAAAAAACGTTTTTTTTTTTGTTTATTTCAGATGCCCCTGAAGATATATCTGCCCTTTATTTGTAAAATTCATATATATTCGAGCATTCAGCAATTATCCTATATTATAATAAAAATAAACTAAGCATCGCGATGCATCGGGAGCAAAATAGTGTAAGGAGCACTCGGTCGGTGGTCTATCTACCTCGCTTTAGCAACACTTGCCGTTACGCATATTCTGTACTCTGTGTTAAGTAAATAAGTATGACATAACCTTTTGAGAGCGTTGTGTTTAACTCTCGATTGATTTTTGGATTCAATTTTATATTCACTGTTTTATAATGTAAAAGTTAATTGCAAAATAACTTTTAAATTACATAACATGTATTGTTTGCCAAAACTTCGCATCTTTTCAAAATAATTAAATTTGTTTATAACATTAAGGTGGTATAAAAAGGTCGTAGTGATTGGTAAAATACTTTGTTATTTTTCGTTCGTGATAATCCCGAAAATTCGAGAGTTACAGCGAAAAATAATTTGGTGCAATAAGCAGATGTGTATAATTAAAATAATACGTTAATGACAGTGATAAGGATTGGCCGTAAAACATTAAAAAACATTTGAGTGAATTAAAAACAAATAAACAGGGTTAACTGATAATTAGTTAATTACAAACAGGGTTAACTGATAATTAGTGAATTATAAACAATTGAACCGGTAATTACATCTAATTCTTGCCCGATTTTAAAGCGACTTTGCCAAACTGACAAGAATTTCTGAGTACAGAATAAAATCAATAACAGTATTACAGTGAAACGGTAGGCATCGTTTTCTCTGAACCGTTGAGGTGAAAAACAGTGCTTGGCGCCGAAAATAAACATATACCTGAAAAAGAAAACATGTCTGGACAGCGACGAAACAACGGATGATGGCACAAAAAAGAGGACAAGAGCTGAGGGTTCAGATAACAAAGAAGAAAGGTCGAAAACTATCCAAGATTACACCCAAAACAACAGATAACCATGATGAGACAATACTGGATAAATTAATATACGTGATAAACAATCTGGCAAGTGACACTAAAAAAAAAGAGAACCCAAAACAGAAGTAATGAAGCAATAGAAAGACTTCTTGCTGATAACCAGATTTTATGAGAAGAAAATAAAGATCTGAAGAAAAAAAATATGGAAATCAAAAAGGAGTTAAATGAAGTCAAGGAAACTATTGAATTCATGGAAAAACAAAGAAGAAAAAACAATGTAGTCATGAGTGGACTAGCAATTGAACCATACGATCAAAGCGTCTTAAAAGAGGGAATGAGCAACTTCATTAAACACAATTTGAAGATATATGTTAAAATTAAAAATGCAAACAAACTGTGGGAGAAAACCTGTCTGATTGAATTAGCAGAATATGAAGAGAAGGTAAAGGTTAAGAAAAACAAATCTAAACTAAGATATGTTGAAGAAGGAAAAGTATACATCAAGGATGATACTACGAATAAAGAGAGAGAAATTCAGAAAACAATTAGAAAACTTGCGCAAGAAGAAAAGGAGAGAGGAAAGGATATAAGACTTGCTGAAAATAAAATATGGATCAACAAGGTTGGCTGGAAATGACAACAAAGAGAACAAACTAGTCAAAATGGGGACAAAAAACTAGTAAACAAATGTGCCGGAAATACTATGACAATCCAAGCAATGACAATGGACATGAGTAGTTATATAATAGGTAGTAAAGACAAAGATAGATCCATAAATAATGACCAAGGACGTGAGCAACGAGACACAAGAAAGGGTAAACCCATAAAAATGCAGTCAGTAACGAGCGAGAATATAAACAGTAACTATTTAAGGCCTCAGAACTAATAAACCGTTTAGAAGACAACACTATAGTACTAGGGGATCTAAATGGTCGAGTGGGTGTAAGAGATGCACATACCAAAGATGTATTACCACCATATGGAGAAGAAATAAAAAATGACAATGGGGCACGTAATATTGATATATGCAGAAAAAGTAATTTAATATTATTTTTTTAAATACAAAGATGTACATAAATATACAAGAGAAGTCAAAAGTAGAGGCGAAAGTTCCATCCTAGACTATGTGTATAGACTAAGAGTAAAACGAGAAGCTGAAATATATAGTGACCACTATCTAGTTGTACTCAGGACTAGCTTGAGAGTGCGACAAGAATCAATAACGAAAGAGACCAAGAAAACAAGTAAAGCTCATAATACTCCCACTATAGAAGTAATCAGATCACATAAGCTAGCAGACAAGGAGACACCAAACAAGTTTGAAAACTACATTAATAAATATATGGCAAATACTGAGAGAAACAGTCCTAAACAGTGGTACACAAGTATGAGGATTAACAAGAAATAACAGAAGCAAAAAGTGTACAAACTGGTAGAACAATGAAATAAAAGCATAAGTCCAAGAAAATAGCTTGCAAAAATTATTTAAGGAAATATAAACGTCTTTTACAAAAAGTTGATTCTAAAATGGAACAATCACAGAGTGGATTGAAAAAAGGCAGAAGCATCCAAGATGAAATTTTTACTATCAAGAAACTAATACAAAACGCACAGAACTCAAGCACTGAGTTATACCAAGCCTTTATAGACTTCGTATTTCGGAAAGTCCCAAAATACGAAGTCTATAAAGGCTTGGTATAACTCAGTGCTCATTCGTGGATTATAAAAAGGTGTTCGATACTATAGATCATCATAAAATGCTTCGAGCATTGGCTGACTGCCGCATTGACTACCGATATATCGTCTTAATTAACAGTATTTACGAAAGTGGTACAGCTGTGTCCGCCTTTATGAAAATACCAAGAAGTTTCGAATAGAACGTGGAATTAGACAGGATGATACTATCTCCCCTAAATTGTTTACAGCTGTTCTTGAATATATGTTCAAGCACATGGAACGAGAGCATAACATGAGAATTAATATAAATGGGGAAGATCTGAACCACCTAAGATTTGCCGATGACATCATTTTAATATCTGATAGAGTTGATAAAGCTACAAAAATGCTGCACACGCTCTATTCTTCTTCTTACGGTGCCTTATCCTTAAGAACGTTGACCATTACATTTGCCCATTTAATCTTATTTGTAGCAGCCCTGAATAGTTCCTCTGCTCTATAAAGTGTCAAAAACAATTGGTTTTAAAATTAACACCTCAAAGACAAAATTTATGACCAACCTTGTAGTCGGCGGTAAAATTCTGATTGAGAGCTATAGCATCGACCAAGTAATAGCTTACAAATATCTAGGCCATGAGATTCGCTTAGGCCGAGATAATCATACAACTGAAATACAAAGAAGGATAGGTCTCACATAGGCTGCCTTTGGTAGATTAAATAACATTTTCAAGTCAAGTATCCCAGTTTGTTTAAAAATAAAGGTTTTTAATCAGTGCGTTTTACCGGTTCTTACATATGGTGCAGAAACACTGACTCTGACAAAAAGAACAATAGATAAAATAAGAGTTACACAAGCGCTATGGAAAGATCAATATTAGGTATTACCATCAGAGATAAAGTACCAAACATAGAAATAAGAAGAAAATGATAAATGGACCAGAAAGATTCTGGAATGGCGACCAAGGCAAGATGCATATCGAACCAGAGGACGACCACCGATTAGATGGACGGACGATATCAAGCGCATCACCACAAACTGGATGCAAGAAGCTCAAAATAGAAATAGGCGGAAAATTTTACGGGAGGCCCACGTTCAGCAGTGGACAAATATAGGCTAATTGATGATTATTATAGACTTAGAAAAGGCATTTGATATTACTCCAAGGAAGGTGATTGACATATGTTTAAAAAAGAAAGGTGTGAAAATCAAACTCAGGCAAGCCATTATGCGTATATATAGACATACAAGGAACAGAATCAGAACCGATAATATGGACTCCTAAGAGTTCATAGTAAATGAGGAAACATAGAAATCTAGAAGCAGTGTACATCTCAGAGTGTGCATACGCAGACGATTAAGTGATATTTGGGATAAATAAAGAAGCACTCAATCGAAATTTACAAGTATGGAAGGCTGCACTAATTAAACGAAATTTGAGGATCAATAATAAGAAGACGAAAGTAATGGTATGTGGAAAAAATAGAAAACAAACGATGATAACACTTCACGGAAATACACTTGAACAACTGAGGAACTGAAGAAACTGAAATAAGTTCCAGAATAGAAAGTGTTGCTCGGATGTACCACGCAATTAAAAGTACGTTTTTGTCAAAAAAATAAGTATCCCAAAAAACCAAAGTGACCATAGACAAGACGGTGTTTGTGCCGATTATACCTTTTGGTAGTGAAAGTTGTACGCTTACTGATAAATTAAAATCGAAAATACAGAGCATAGAAATATAGTTTTTTAGAAGAATAATGGGTATAACCAGGTTAGAGAGGATTAGAAATGAGGCAGTCAGATAACATCTTAAGGTCCAACCAATTATTAAGAAAATTGAAGAGGTCCAATGAGGCCCAAAGTAATACAAATATTTATTAATAATATATAAATATAATTAATTATATAATTACATTTTGAAATCGTAGGCTTCCACGGCCAGAGTCAGAATTATAGTTTATTCGTCTTCCGGGTTTGGACCGTTTCATTTGTGAGTGACCCAAAAGTGGGTTTATCTCGACGTTTCGCTACAATTGTATGCAGCTTCTTCAGGAGAACAAAGAAAAAGAAAAAGAAGACAGGAAAATGGGTAGTTAGCAACGGTAACTCAGTTACTCAACGCAACCAGAGGCGAATACTAACTACCAAGATGGGCATTTGGTCACAGTAACTCAACTACTCAACGCAGCCAGAGGTGAAAACCAAATGCCAGGACAGGGATTCACGCCCAACAGCTCAGAACACTAACGCGTCGAGAGGCGGGGAGTGAATCCGACGATTACTCCGCTACCGCTCTATTTATAGTCGCGGTGACCTGTCGTGTCGGGACGTATCGGCACATTCCGTGGCGCGAACGTCAAGAAGCGCGCGCTGGCCAATCATGTGGCTGCATCGTGGTAGCGGGACCGGACGGCGGCTCTAGACTGAGATTCCAGATGGGAGACAAGTAGTATCCTTCCTCTCGATTGAGAGAGGAAGGATACTACTTGTCTCCCATCTGGAATAGGAAGGATACTACTTGTCTCCCATCTTCAATCGAGAGGAAGGATACTACTTGTCTCCCATCTGGAATCTCAGTCTAGAGCCGCCGTCCGGTCCCGCTACCATGATGCAGCCACATGATTGGCCAGCGCGCGCTTCTTGACGTTCGCGCCACGGAATGTGCCGATACGTCCCGACACGACAGGTCACCGCGACTATAAATAGAGCGGTAGCGGAGTAATCGTCGGATTCACTCCCCGCCTCTCGACGCGTTAGTGTTCTGAGCTGTTGGGCGTGAATTCTTGTCCTGGCATTTGGTTTTCACCTCTGGCTGCGTTGAGTAGTTAAGTTACTGTGACCAAATGCCCATCTTGGTAGTTAGTATTCGCCTCTGGTTGCGTTGAGTAACTGAGTTACCGTTGCTAACTACCCATCTTCCTGTCTTCTTTTTCTTTTTCTTTGTTCTCCTGAAGAAGCTACATACAATTGTAGCGAAACGTCGAGATGAACCCACTTTTGGGTCACTCACAAATGACACGGTCCAAACCCGGAAGACGAATAAACTAATTACATTTTACCTAAAAATTTGACGTTTTTATTTCCACTCTAGAAACCGTTGTCAAAAAAAGGTTATTAAATAATTTTGTTGAAAAACGGAGTGTAGTGTAATCGCCAAGACTGTTGACAAGGTTATTTCACAGAATAATAAACAAACAGAATGCCCACTCTCCACGGAAAATTAAGTACGCGCATCTCCTTCGCGCAGACGTTCCGCCATGTTTTACGAGGATTTTAAAGGGAACCAGTGTTGTTTATGTGGTGTGCATGGAAAAAAACCAGGTTTATTTGACTTACGGCAATCATAGACATACTATACAAATATAATAACATAAATATAATATAATTAAAGATAAATGTAAACAATTGCATAACCTCACAAATCATATGTTTGTGTCCTCCTAAAACATGGCGCGCGTGCTGAAAAACTTCAAAGGCGGCATCTGAGAGTGGCCCTTCTGATTGTTTATTATTCTGTGGTTATGTCATGTGACAAAATTGAAGGTCGATTTACTTTTGGCCACGGTGTTATAGGCAACAGCCATATTTGGCTGAAAAGATGTGTGGGTGGATGTTTTGCCCCATGAAAAATTTCAAACTTTAATTATTTTAAGTGTTCAATATTGTTAATATCCGCTTATTGAAAACATTAAATTTGATTTATATAAATTCTACTTTTTAAAATTTTAAAATTAAAATCGCAAAATTTTAGACAACTTCACTTACATTATTAACTTAATAATTCATTTAAAACGATTAACGATTCTTTTGGAATTGTACATATTATTACAGAACTTGGTGATATATATATATATATATATATATATATATATATATATATATATATATATATATATATATATATATATATATAAATATTATAATAAAAGCACGTTCCACCTCCATTGTGCTATTGCCCTATATTAGTTTGGTAGGTACGCGCGTATGACAAAGATAGCTAGACCACCCAAAGTCAATATTGCCCTTTCACCTCTACTCACAATGCTGACTATACCTTACCCAATCTATTCATAGTATCTTAGTAACTGCAGCAGTAAATACTTACATCTGAGATATTGATCCTGGGTGAACTCATTGTTTGTTCCGGATATATCCACGGTTTGTAATAGGGATTCTCTTGCGACGATTTCCACGTTTCGTACCCTTCAGCGGCCTTTTTCAGCTGTTTTACTACTTTTGGTGCGAACTTTTGGGTGATCTTATTCACCAACCACGGAGGAAGTTTTCCCCTAGGGTCTGTCTGTGATATATATCCCAGAAAACATCCTTTCGCAGATTCTCTAATGACGAATCCGGTCATGTGGGAAATCGCCCTATAAAATTAATAAATTAATAAAAAATATAAAAAGTGGAGGAAGTTATTATCAAAAGTAATATAAGTATAGTAATTGAACAAAATATTTTATTTTAATAGTGAATTTATTCCCGACACTTAAGAAGACTATTCCCGCATTTTCTGCTGTTTATCGGAAGATGGGACTAATAGGTCCCGCAATCCTTTTATTTAATATACATCGTCCTTAAAGCCCTTTTTCACATTCGCGTGATAATTAGGACATTTCATTCGCGAGTGTACAGGACTGGCACACAGTAGCAAAGTCTGGTTATGCAAAAATCATCGATTTCACGGCAACATTTTTCGCAGAAGCTTTTAAGACATAGGTGGGGGTTACTAGATGATGAATAGATGAAAAAGTACTCTTATTCTACTGGTCATAGAAAGTTTTTTTCTAATGTTAGTTTTTTTACCAGCTGTCAATGGTTGTACGTACAAGTCTGTGGCTTGAAAAATATAGAAGTTATTACAATTGTTTATAAGTAAAAAAACATACCCCTTTTTCAAACGTTTATCTTGTAAATAATTTCGATGGAAACGCAATATGAATTTAACTTATGAGATAGATTATGTCTTAAAGAATCCTATGAAATTTTCTAAATGTGTCTAGCATCATTATTAGAGCAAGTTCAATAGTTAAAATATTTAGACTCAGGGATAATTAAATTAAATAACTTTTAAACTATTTGACCGATCGGAGGAAATTTCGCACAAATTTAAACGACGGTCATTCCTCAATGTTCAAATGTATTAATCACATTTTATTCTGTTAATAAAAAAATTAATAAAAATTACAAATTAGTGCAAAAAACTCCTTTTTTGCAAATATCTCCGTAAATTGTTTATCAATTTTAATTTAAAAAACGACAAAAAATCAAATTGTGACCATAAATTGTTCTGTAAAAAAAAACCCGCAAGGTTAAAATTCGAGTACTTTTTTATCTATTCATCATCCAGTAAACCCCACCTATGTCTTAAGAGCTTCAGATATCTGCAAACAACAAACCCGATAGTCAACCAGGGAAAAAATTTGGAACTTAAAGTCTATACTTTGCCTAACAGATAATAACAGCACGACAGCTTTTCGCTAATAGACCACTTTAGATACTAGCGCCCTCCAGTTTTTATACCGCCTTGATATGGTATGGTACTTTATGAATAACTGACTGAATAACTTATTAGCAATAGTACAAATATTTGCAATATTTAATGGCAATATTGCAAATATTTATCCTTTAATTTGTTCCTTCTAGGACACTATGACAACGTCGGAAGAAATTATAACGTTGATTGGTTTGTTTGTTGTATTTTAGTGTTTTACCTCAATTGAAATATCTACTTTTATTTACTTACATTTTCGGTTGGGAATTATTTTTTGAAAACTATTTTTTCAATGCATTTAGACTTTTTATTTTCAATTACCTTGATGGTGTTTTGATTAATAACTCTCGATATTTGAGGTTTATTTCAAGTACAATACAATATACGTATTTATCGTAATGATGCTACGTTGCCCTAGTTTTAAATGGTAACTCAATCGTTTCATAGCTATGTTATTTTGATTTTCTATGAGTACGCTATGTATGACCGCTTATTGGACTTGATAAAAAAATATTAAAAACGTTACCTTATATACCCCTTCCTAATTGCATAATCCTTATGGTTAACTGAATGATTTAAAATTAGTTTTTCTGCACCCATATCCAGCCACGACCTCTGAAGGACAAAATCTCTATTTTTTACAGGTGTTGGACACGATACTAAAAAAAGCATCATTAACGAGCTGAATAACTTTAATAGCTGTTAAAAACATCTAAAAATGAACTCCAACCACAACATTAAATTTAAAAACGATTTGATTGGAAATTGTAGAACATCATGGTAGATAGTCGACAGGAAATTTGTGTATTATTGAATATAAAAGAGTTCTAATTGGTTCATACCGTTGATTGAAATATTATAGGGGAAATATTATCCAATATTTCAATCAGCATTTATAGTTAACGATTACAATATATTATTCATGGACGAAGTCATAAAGAGTCTCAATAAAGAACAGGATACAGAATGGGCTATAATGATATTAAAATTATCCGTTATGCAGACGATGCAATATTGATAACCTTTACAAACTAGTTCACAGATTTAATTCAAGAGCAATAGTAATCACTAAAGAACCAATAATATGTAAACTGGAAGTAGATGGAGTTAGTAGTGAACAAGTAATGGAAAAAGAGTAGCTAGGGATTATCCTGGTCAGCTATGAAAACGTTGAAAGGGAAGTAAGAGATCAAGTATAAAGAGCATATAGATTAGCAAGATGCTTTAATAATATCATGACGCCACCGACATGAATCTATTAACAAGACCCGACATAGCCAAAAAACGTGTGAAAAGTGCTGGAAACAGCAGAAATGAGAAGAATTACAGGAAACACGCTATGAGATCGAATAAGGAGTGACGAAATCAGAACAAAATGTAATGTATAGGATATAATCGAGTGGACGCTAAATAGAAAAAAAAAGAATGGAACAATCACATAAGTAGAATAGCGGACACAAGAGTCGTTAAAATAGTAAGGAACAAATCACCAAGTGGTGAAAGAAGTATCGACTGAGCGGACAAGACATGGAGTGACAATCTTGCATAGAGGCAACGACAATGATTAACCAAAATTGCTTATATAAAGACAGGAGGAATGTTGTTTTATTTGAAGAACGTCTCCACTTACTTTGATTGCGGCAAATACAATGTTTTCGCGAATGTCGATGAAATTTTTGAAAAAGTAGCTCATAGGAAGATTAAGATGGTTAGAACATTTAGAAAGAAATAATGAAAAAATACTACGAAAAAGAGATCAAAAAAAGGGACGATCAAATAAGAGTGGGTCTATGTATCTATTTGCCACTGAATTATATGTATGTCAGTCTTTTAGCATTATCATCATCAGAATCCAGATTAAAAAGAAAGGCAGAAGAGAAACATATCCATATGTATATCGGTTATACATTCGTATATTATTTGCATATTATTTTATACTAGTAGCAAATTATTTTTACATGGCGGGCGTCTATTGGGGAAGGTTGTCTAATTTGGACCAGCGTGTAAAACGGTTCTGTTATTACTAATTCATTACGAACCATAATTAACCAAGATGAATTTAAAACGTAACCTCATACGAATCAGTTAGTTAACTATATACCACCAGAAAGTTTATTTAAATAATTCTATTTCAACTTTGAGGGTATACAAGGCAACTATCGAACACGGTGATTAATTTAATCTTGCCCAAGTACTTTCGATCAATAGATCATCTTCAGGGGCATGATGATCTATTAATCGAAAGTACTTGGGCAAGATTAAATCAATCACCGTGTTCGATAGTTGCCTTGTATACCCTCAAAGTTTAATTATTCGAACATTCAACCTTATGTTAAATTCTATTTCATCCTATCTTGAGCACCCTGAATCCAGTTGTGCTGGATGCGCTCTTTATTCTAAAATTTTTTTGGTGCATCTCCCATATCTGATTCTGGCAACATGTCCTACCCAGTTCCATTTTAGCGTTGTAATTATTTTAACTGCGTCCGCAACACCAGTTTTTCTCTTAATTATTTGATTTGAAACTCTCTCTGAGGGATATATTCAACATTGACCTCTCCATTAAGCCACTTGTATCTTATTGACTACTTTTTGGTAAGGGTCAATGTTTCTGCTTCTGTTCCATCCGTTAGAACTGGAAGTACACATTGATCAAAGACTTTTCTTTTCAAGCACATGGGAATATCTTATCTACAGACTTTCCTCAGTTTTCCGTAAGCTGCCCATGTAAGTCCTATTCTCCTATTTAACTCTGTTGTTTCATTGTCTCTTCCTAATTTAATCTTGTGGCCAAGATACTTATGGGTATGAACTTGTTCAATTTTCATGCCATTCGTTGAAATGATTTTGGCCAGTACAAGGTTGGTCATGTATTGTGATTTGGAAAAGTTAATTTGTGTACAAGAGCTCTAAAGGTATTGAAGAAGTTGACAGGCATGATCTACCCGGTCTGCAATAAGGACTATGTCATTTCAATATTTTCCCAATTATTGTTTCCCATGGCACTCTGTAATAAAGCGGTGAATAGTTTAAAAAGATGGAGTCTCCTTGCCTAATATCCTTATCTAAGGGAAATGTGTTTGTGTCGCACACATATATGTATACAGTACATTATTGCTGCAATTGTTGCGCTATTATATATATTTCGAAGAAGAGTTGTGTACCTATGATCAATACTGCAGTCTGTAAGACCTCTCAACATGGAGCTATGCTGGACAGAGTCAAATGGAAAGGTCTACAAATATTAATATCATTTTATTATTTGTAGATCTTTTTTTTAATTTTTCATTTCTGCCAATTTTTCGTTAGCCCTTGGATTTTTTAAGTGTGCTAGGTTGCTAACGCCTAACGTCACAACCCTTTTGGAGGACCTATTATTCAGCCGCCCACTCTGGGTCAGACGCTGTTTGCAGCCGCCCACTCTGGGTCAGACGCTACTATTGTCAGTTGGTCCGCGTCGGGTATTTCATTTTCCCGATACCACCCATATCTGGGAGGCGTTCCCCTATCCGCCACCTGGGGACGCGTCCGGTAGAGGACTGATATCCTCCTCGGACAGAGGATGCTGGATAAACAAAATCGCAGAATGGAGCCCGATCGGAAGAAGAAAGAGAGGAAGACCCCGAAGGTCATTCAGAGACGAAATCGACGAGGCTATGGAGAAAAGAACCCTGCGAGATGGAGACTAGAATGACAGGGAAAATTGGAGAAAACGGTTGAGTGAAGGAAGACAGTGAAAACTGTGGAAATCCTTAGTAGTAGTAGTAGTATTTGTAGGTGGTCATTCGTTCCAAAGCCACTTCTAAATCCGGCTTGCTCTAGTGGTTGGTAAAAATCTAGCTTAGGTCCTCGTCTGAGAAATTATTCTCATAAAGAGCTTGTATAAATGAGATAACAAGGTGATCAGTCTGTAGTTTCCAATTTCTGTTACATCTCCTTTTGTGTAATATTATCATAATGACATTATTCCATTTTTCTGGTGTAATTTCTTCAAAGAGACAGATATTATAAAGAGTTTTTAAAGCTTTTATAACGCATTCGCTTCCTAGTTTTATTATTTCACTTACAATGGAAACTTTTTCAGGTGTTTAGAGGATTTTCAGGATTTCTTCCTGCTCATATATGGCATGTCCTTGATTATTTTTTAACTTATAAATATTTCTCGCTCCTGTCTTTAACTTTAGCTTTAGAACTTTAATGCTTTTGTTTTGTTTTTTTGGTATTAGCTGTTTCTTTAGTGTTAAATTTCCTTATGTCTTTACTAACGACTTATGAGATGGTTTTGTTTAAATTTCTAAGTTCTGCACTGTTCGTTGTGTGCTTATCTTTCATTTCTCTTTTTTGCATTAAGTTTCTTGTGTCTTCTGTGAGTTTTTCATATTTCCTTGTTTCCATGGCTTGACACTTCAGTGTTTTCTTTAAGGCGTCCACCAACATTTCGCTAAGCTGTTCAATATTTTTTTTATCTGGCACGTCTTTCTGTAGGTAACTCTCTATTTTTTCTCGTATGCTCTTGCGTTAGTAATCGCAGTGAATATGACATTTTTAGTCCGTGTTACCATATTTCTTCTTTTCTTTGTTATGTTTAACACTATCTTCGCTCTTAGCATTCTATGGTCACTTCAGGTTGAAAATTGATTTAATACAGTTACGTCTTGAACAACGTCTTTCTTGTTAGTAAATATAAAGTCAATTTCGTTCTTGTTTAAGCCATTTGGTGATTGCCAGTCTTCCTTCCTTTAAAAGATGTCTTCCTTTGCTTTATAGATTACCAGAAAGCATTCGATTGTGTTAATGATTCATAATTAATAAGATTGCTCCAGGAACGTTCGATAGATGAGAATGACCTAAAATCATAAAGAACCTTTATATGAATCAAGTGGCATCTGTGAGAGTAGGACTGAAATCTACATCATGTTTCTCAATCGAAAATGATGTACGACAAGTTTGTGTTCTGTCACCCCTCCTTTTTAATCTTTACTATGAAACGATTTTCGTTAGAGCCTTAAGTGACACTGAAGATGGAATTAAAATCAACGGACAGACTATTAGTAATCTTCGCTATGCTGATGATACAGTCATAATAGCTGATAGCCAAGAAGCGCTACAACGACTAATAGATAGAATAAACAATGAAGGAGAACGAGTGGGTTTGAAGATTAATATAGACAAGACGAAGGTAATGGTGGTTAGTAGAACACGAAATATACAATTGAATATAAGAGTAAACAACAAGAACATCCAAAAAGTCTCCAAGTTCAGATATCTCGGTAGTTGGATAACTAAAGATCTAGATCCACACATAGAGATACGTAGCAGGATAAAGCAAGCCAGAACAGCATTTACTAATATGAGAACCTTGCTAAGCAACAGCAGCCTCAACTTAATGCTTCGATATCGCTTTGTAAAATGTTACATTTACTCCATACTGCTATATGGTGTAGAAACCTGGACCATAAAGGCCAATGCGATGAACCTATTAGAGGCATTTGAAATGAGGGTATTTAGAAGACTACTCAAAATTCCCTGGACAGATCACACAACAAATGTCGAAGTATTAAATAGAATGGGCAGAGAACGAGAATTGCTGCCATTAATAAAAAGAAGAAAAACTGCTTATCTGGGTCATATATTTCGAAATTACAAGTATCAGTTCTTAAAGCTTATTATGGAAGGGAAGATAGAAGGAAAACGAGGCATCGGAAGAAAGAAATACTCATGGCTAAAAACATAAGGGATTGGACACACCTCGATGCCCATGCACGTTTTAGAGCCACACAAGAGTGAGAGGTGTATTCCAGAATTGTCGTCAACATCCACCAATTGAATAGGGCACTAGAAGAAGAAGGTGATTGCCAAGTTCACTTTTTTTAATTGAATGTTATATGTTATATAACCTGTGTTGCAGAAGAAATTTTATAAGAGTTTGATCCCTTTCGTTTCTATCGCCATATCCGTGAGATCCAAGTACAAACTCCGAATCATCCTGCTTGTGGCCTGTTTTGGCGTATAGTTACCCTTTAACTTTTTCATCTGTGTGGACACTGGTAGGTGCGTATACCTGGATGATCTATAATTTAATTTTTTGTTTATCACTTACGCTCTTAATTGTAAGTATATTTTTTGTATGTTGTTTATTTACCATAAATTCGACGCTACCATTAGAAGATTCTGCTCTATAATGTAAATAATGCAATAGGATTATCGACGAACGTACAATTTGTTGTTCACCTTTTCACCGTACTTCGGATAATCTCGTAGTAGGAAGCATATCCCATTTTATATGCTTCAGCTTCAAGTTCCACAAGTTTTTTGTCCTCCATTAAAATATTTTGGTGTTATATGTTGCCATAAACCATATTCTTTGCCGTTGTCGTTTGTAAGGTAGCCTGGTCGACTCCGGGGTTTCTTCGCACCCCCTGCCCCCAAAAGTAAATAATATTCCAAAAATATTTAACACTGTATTAATTGATATAAATAAATATATATATATATATATATATATATATAAATATATATATATATATATATATATATATATATATATATATATATATATATATATATATATATATATATATAATAAATTAGATTTATAAAAATAGTTCACTCCACTCAAATACGTGTAATTTGGTCCTAATCCAAATTACACCCATTTCAGAAAATATTTTTTTCCAATTTTACGACGTCGAGAGCTGATAAAAGAACTAAAGGGGTTTATGGTAAATAAAAACCTCAAAATATCGATGCGGCAACGAAAGCTATTAATTCGAAACAAATTAGTCTAAATGAAGCTGCCAGAGGCTTTTCTTTTCGGTTTCAAAGACACTTTAAAGAGAAAAATACCAGACAAAAACAAATATTCTTCTGGAAGCAGTTATACAATAAAAAGGAAACCAGATTTATCATCTACACTGGAAAATGATCCTTTTAATTACATTTTTTAGTTAAAAAATGTTTTATGTTCTACCACGTGAAAAAAAAATGAAACTATGTGACAAAGAAGAGCGAAAAATAATATTAAAACAAGATTTAACGTTAAAAAGAAGTAAGTTGGTAATTAATGATGAGCAGGCTTCATGAAAAGACATCCAAACATAAGTCTACGTCTATCTTAAGCAACTTTTTTAGATCGAGCTGTAGAATTTATATAATGGTGGTCCATAAGATTTTGGAAGTTTATGAGAAATCAATTAAGGAAAAAGATAATACTGCTGATCGAGTCTTTAATACCGTTGAGATATCTCATAATGTTGTCCAGACGCGATAAGCGCCACTGGCATCTTCGTTCAACTTATGCTTATTTTTGCCAGAAAACGCAAGAAAGAGGTTTAGGGATCCAACTTACACGGCCTTCTCCTAGATATTTTAGTAGAAATATCAAATTATGACCAGGCTGAGAAAATTGGGCGTTAGTGAGTACCTAGTCAACGTAATTGACAGATATTTTACTGACAGGTCCATAAGAGAAGAAGATACCAGCATTAGTTTGTCGCAGGGTGTTTCGCAGGGTTCAGTAGGTCCCATCCTGTGAAATGTCCTGTACGACGGGGTGTTGAGGCTACAGATGCCAAGGGTCACTCTTGTAGCTTATGCCGATGATCTCGCACTGGTTGCGAAGGCGAGTTAGAAAACGGACATGGCTAATGAGGTTGCACCGGTTAAATCGATTAAATATCTGGGAGTTTGGTTGTGGGAAGGACCAAGGTTCTGAGTACACATCCAAAAGACGGTAGAGAAGGCGAACCGAAATTGGGAGGCGTTGATACGGCTGATGCCAAACATTGGAGGTCCAGGTAGCACCAAAAGAAAGGTGCTAAATAGAGTTTTCCAGTCGGTGGTAATCTACGCTGCCCCCGTGTGGTGTAGCGTACCAAACACTGCGAAATACGCTAAGCTGATGGAGACTTCGTAAAGGCGAATGTTCCTCGGGGTATCTAGTGCATATAGGACAGTTTCAAATGAGGCTCTATATGTCATCAGAGCACAACAAAACTATCGTAATACCGATAGTTTTGTTGTGCTAAGAGTGAGCGGGGGTGTATGCAAGGAGAATGGATGTAAACATAGATGAGAATGAGAAAGAAAGAACAATAGTAAAGTGGTAGAGAGAATGGGCGAATGATAGTGGAACGGCAAGGTTGACGAAGGAGTTTATTTACGATCTGAGGCCTTGGTAGGAATGTAAGTTCAGAAAACTAGACTACTTCCTGACGCAGTTTCTGACCGGTAGTTTTGGCACCTTCACAAATAGAATAGGCAAATCTGCCTCGGGGTAGATTGTACTGTTTGTAAACTGTACTGTTTGTGGGGCACCGGACTCTCCCGCCCACATTAGTAACTGCCAGAGATGGGCAAATGAGAGGAAAAATTTCGAGAGGCGACTGGATTTCCAGCTGGTTGAAAGAAACATTGTAAACATAATGATAAGAGGAGAGAAAAAAATGAAGAGAAGTACACTGTCTGATTTCTGGGGTGATGAAGAAAAAGGGACAGGAGGACAGAGAACGAAATTGAGTCAGGGATCTGAAATTTATGGTCAATATTATTTATTAGTTTATGGGCTAACGTCTAAAACATTTTTTGATTTACGGTAATAGGTATGGTTATTTATGAATTTTTATTTTTTTATTTTAGTTGTTCATTGAGTGGCAGGACCACCTCTCTGGAATGGTGGTTAAGGTTTTAGCCGAAACACGGTTAATCCGGCACTAACCTGAGGGCTTCTGGCTTAGTATTCTACTCGGCCAAAAGATGCCAGGGTATCTTGTTCCGTGACGTAGATGTCCAAAAACGATTTCCCATACCGTTGCCTATCAGAATTCAATGGATACCTTGTTAGGCTCTTACTGGAATTTGACATTACGGCAATTAAAAAAATACGTTTAATATATCATTACTTCTGCTTAAGGGATCCAAATTACACGACCTTCTTCTAGATATTTTAGTAGAAATATCTAACGCCATTTTGAGCTCTTTGAAGAAAAGGGGCTGGGAACTTTTTTGCATTGTCGGAAATACAATTGTCAGAGACAAAACAAAAGAGGTAAAAAAGATTTTAAAACAATAATACTACAAGATCAACCTGGTAATTATCATAAAGCTAAACATAAAGACTGAAACAACGTAACAATGATGAAAATACTAACAATATATCCAGCGATTTATATGTATGTTATTACACATTCTGTGACGATAAGACCTAGAAAAAAAGTTTATTTTCAGTATAAAGAGAATAATGTTTAGTGGTTTAATCCCATGTTTTAAAATTCCAGAATTATTATGTGAATTAACCCTTAAGACTACTTAAGCCTTCATTATTTTATATTTATAAAATTAAGTAAAACATATTAACGGTTGATCCTAGACGTATTTAAAATCTTAAACTGATATGTTATCGCCGGTATTAACAGGTCTATAAATAAAATAAAAATAAATTTTATATTATAGAATGAGCGTACACTTACATGCATAATATCCTACATCATTATTTGGATTTAAATAACCTATTTCTATCGACGCTTGCATGTGTTCGTCCCATTCTTTCCGATATCCGGGGTCATGTAAAACATCAAATAAAGTATTTGCAGCTACATCTTGGAAGACTGTTTGGACTTTAACCATTTTAAAGTTTGTGTTTGGAGTCGTCTTTGTCCATACCTGTAACAATATCACGCAGTTAATTACTACTATTGCCACAATTACAGTTAATAATAACGCTTATAATAATTAAGCCTATACAACGGAGTATCGAAAGACCTGACAGCGAACTTGTTTTTACCTGCAGTACTTATACACAATAGCAATTTATTCCTTTGTGGATCTGATGAAGCTCGACGATATTTTTGCCAATTTTCTACCTTTTGATCTTAAAAATGACACCCCGTATATGAGAGAAACTTATTAAGCAAAACTCAATACTCAAGACTCTTCAATAGTTTTTATTTAATAGTTACAGCACATACAACCAGTCGAACAAAAACACCATTTTAAGACCGACCTGTCAGCTCCTTAATAATAAAAAATATTTAACCCGAAACAACAACTAGTTACAATTATTATAAATAATAAAGCAAACACGAGTAATCAGGAAAAGAATCAGATTGATAAAAATAAGTATGAGAATAAGTGGATAAGGCTCAGTAGAAAGAATAAAAAAAATAAATAAAAATAAAATAAAACAAAATAAAATCAATAAAGATTGACCTAAAAAATCTAAAAATCATTGCACGTGAAGAAAATAACATTCTTAGTAAAGGTATTAAACATTAGATACAGGTTAATACTAACTGCATATACAGAACCTTCTTCTTCTGCGGCTAGTGCCTATCCTCTATGGATGTTGGCTACCACAATGGCCCCTCGTATTTTATTAGCAGCTGTTCGAAATAGATCTGTGGTGGTCATACCTGTCCACTGTCTCAAATTCTTGAGCCAGGATATTCGGCGACGTCCTGGTCCTCTATTTCCTTCTATTTTCCCTTCTAATATCAATAGTAAGATTTCAAGACTTCAGGTTCTTTTTGTAAACGTTGCATTACTGCGTCGTTAGTTATATGATGAACATATGATGTTCTGAGCATGCGACGATAGCACCACATTTTGAAAGACTGCAACCGTCTGCAAGACGTATCAGTGAGTGTCCATGCCTCTGCTCCAGACATAAGAACAGAAAACATATAACAATTAAGGATTTCGAGTTGGAGATGTAAGTTCAAGGTTAAATTGCAGAGAACTTTCTCCATCTGTTGGAAGGTACTCCTTTCTTTTTCCTGTGATGTTGCATCCTAGGTATGTTTTTTTCTGTTCTATCCAATACCTCATTATCTGCCATAAACTTTACATCTGTATCTTGGTTTTTGCTTATGCTCATAATTTTCGTCTTCTTATTATTAAGTTGCCTTTCATATTTTATACCAATGGTCCTTTGCTTTCTCTCTCCAATCTGTCAGGCAAATTTCTGACAAGTCTTGCTTGTCTTTGTCTTTAACTATTTCTTTCTTGGACGACTTCTTCTTTTCCCGTTCTTTTTACCTACTTTACCATTCACCCGCATTAACCATTTTCTTTTTGTTTTAATCGTTTTAAACGTCTGGCATTTCTTTCCCCAGGTAGTTGTAGCTTCCTTCGGGTATTTGTTAGTTGTTGCTCTGAAAACTCTAATCTTCTAACACTATTGCCATAAATTGGATTTTGACTGTAGTGACTCTTTTCCCACGTTAGTGTTCTCCTATTCTAACTTGGCTGCACCGTACTGATGACGACAAAATAGTCAGAAATACGTGTTTACGGTTGCCTTCCATCATACATAAAATTGTTTTTTTCTATTGTTGCGAGATATGCCAACACTCTACCGTACTACATAATACATATATATATATATATATATATATATATATATATATATATATGCATATATATATATATATATATATATATATATATATATATATATATATATATATATATATATATATATATATACATACATATATATATATATATATATATATATATATATATATATATATATATATATATAATATATATATATTATATATATATATATATATAATATATATATATATATATATATATATATATATATATATATATATATATATATATAAGTAAAAAGTAATGGATGGTATATCGATGGAAGGCAACCGTATATATGTATTTCTGACTATTGATCATCTTCAGTACGGTGCAGCAAAGTTGGAAAAGGAGAATATTAACTTGTGAAAGGATCACTACAGGAGCAATGCAACCAATTTGTGGCATTAGAGGTAGAAGACCTTATGCTCCTTTTCTAACTTGGCTGCACCATACTGAGCAGTACAATAGTCAGAAATACGTATATACGGTTGCCTTCCATCGATATACCATTTTTGGTTTTTTGTTTTGCGAGACATGCCATTACTTTTTACTTTTATTATTCACTGGCATTATCCTTTTCTATATATATATATATATATATATATATATATATATATATATATATATATATATATATTTGTTCCGAAAGGTTTCCGCGGTTGGTTACAATTAAACCTAGAGCTGAGATTAATTCTATTACAGGAATTAACCTCACCAGTTATCCTCTTCGATGTCTTCTTCAGGGCACCCGAGGTCTCAGTCTCTTAAGTACTAAACAAACACTACTACATATTGTCACTTATCAAAGCATTAGTGGTAATTATAGGTAATCGGTACTATTAACCGATTAAAATGAATATCCAAATAGTACCGAAAATAAAACTTTAATAAAAAGTAAAGCTTTTGTTTCTTGATTTTTGAAGGTATGTTTAAATAGTACGGTTAAATATTTAAAAAGTTTAAATTATGATACGACCTATTTTGTTACAGTCAATTAAGGTGAGATAGATACTATTTTGTTAAAAGAAAAATTGTCTTATATCTCATAAACTAATCACTTCAAGCCGAACGTATTATATATTTTTGAAATCAGTACAAAAGGAAGAATCAAAGTATAAAATAAAAAAGGGGGAAGTAATAAACAAAAATAAGGGATGATGCGGGTGTGCATTTCCCAGCAACCTTAAATATGACATAATGTCTCCCCCTTACAATATTGATAGACGTGTTTGTGAGTTTTTCCTAAAAATTAGAAGTTCAATAGTTATTTAAGGTGGCTAGTTCTATATTAAAGTACTGTATATATTTTTATACACGTTGATTATAGTGAACAGATTTTCAATTAAGCTCATAAAGTTACACAGTTTTTCTTCTATTTTGAGAGTTTATTTTTCGACTTATACCAGACAATTAAGGACTATGGCGCCATCTATTGACCTCGAGTCCGAGAACATTGATCCGCTAGTTCATTAGTCAATACCGCAGCAAATAGATGGCGCCTCAATAAGTATGGCAAATATTACCATGAATGGGTATCATTTTTGTACATAACAAAGGTACCGCAATATGAATAAATACATCTATATTAGTTTATTAGTACTTATAAGCATAATTACCACCAATATAAATGTATACTACAATTAACGTGCAATAATAACTTAAGACTATGTCGATGTTGATATAAGCAAATAATGAATATATTCAGGGAAATAAAGGAGTTTAGCTAAATAACTTACGGTCGGTACCGCTTTTAAATTTTTGGTCATTGGTACACTGTGTTAGATTGTATTTAACAATTTAATCATTTATTAGTTCATTAAAAAAAGTGAATTGTTTATCTGCACAAAACATTTTTGAATTAACAAGAAGCGTAAATTTTTGTGCCACATTTGGCAGGTTTATTCGCAATGTACTGGCGGAACTTACATCTGGGCAATGTACTGGCGGAACTTACATCTGGTAAAGAACTGGTCCGCGGTAAACGAAAAAATAATCAAAATGGAATTAAAACTGCAAGAATAAGAATAGCTGGGAAAGGTGACTTATGATGCCCCCTCTTATTCTTTTTTGATAAAACTTGATCACTAGTTGAACTAAAAAACAAGCTTTGAGAACAATTCGTTGCAGCTCAGAAATGCTGCATCTGATTAATCATTATCGTTCTGTTCACACATAACTTCTTCAGGACTATCTTCTATTCTTAGGTTATCCATTTTTCTTCTGGTTGCTTATGCTGTTTTTCTTTTCTCTCTTTCTAATACTTTTTTGTCAGTTTCCTTAATTTCTCCTGTACCTGAGGTACTGTTGATAACACCTTTGATACCACCGTTAATAACACCGTTGATAAACTTCATTGCGATATTATTGTTGCCTTCGGAAGAGGGGACAATTCTTTAATTTGTTCTCTGCGTATGTAATGTTTGGATGTGCTTGCAATTTGGTCATTTGTATTTCCCTGGAAAGTATGTAAGATTATTTTAATGGGACTATTGCTAACATTGATCATAGGTACACAACCACCCCTAATAGACTTAAGGGATGCAAAGCTACCAGATTACACGCACCTCAGTCTTGTATAGATCAGCGCGATAAACACTGCAGTTTTTTTTCTATAAAACTTTACTACGCAACTTTAAAAAGACTCTGCCCCCTGAGTTCGCCCAGTGCACTATGGAAGAATCAGAAGTGTTAGATCAACATCACAGGTACCGTAATTTGATTCATACACACACAATATTTATATTAATTGATAAATTTACATAATACCTTATTTTCGTATAAAAAGAATACACCTAAATAAATATTTTGAACGAGTGTTCACTCTTATAGTAATTTGGATTTGTACAACTTCTATGAAAGCAAGGATGGACCAAAATGGTATAAGTATTCTTTGAAAGGTAAAATTAGTAAAACTAACAAAACGAATATTGTAAAAGTACTTCCTGGACCCAAAGAGTACGCTAAATATATTACAAATGAGGTAGATGCTTTCGCTAAACTGTTTATTGATGGCATTATTGAAAATATTGTGGTATGTACCAATGTGCAAATAGAAAAGATGCGCCCGAATTACAATCGCGAAAGAGACGCTAAAAATACAATCAAATCTGAAATTATGGTAACGGTAAGATTTTGTTTTTAAGGGCTTAAAAACAAAGTCATACACAGTTTTTGGAATTGTGGACAACTGATGGAACGGGCTCAGAAATTGTCAGAGCTTGCATGAGCTGCAACCGATTATTATTTCTCTTAAATGCTCTTAGGTTTGATAATAAAGATAC